CCAGCTCGCCGTCAGCTGATAACCCCTGGCAGGTCGGCGGAGCTGATGATGCAGCTGAGGGTTTCAGCGCCCGACTACGGCAGCGAGCAGGTGCCGCATGCGACCCTACCGCAGGGTTTTCTCACCTCGTCTCCCTCCAGCTGTCTCCCATGCTGTATCCCAACTACCACAGGGCCATGAAAAGAGAGCGGGATCACGTGAGCCCTGGAGGAAGCGGAGGGGGAGGGGAGGGGAAGGAAATGGAGGGAGAAAATTTGCTATGAGGGAGGGTAGGTGGAGCAGAAAGTCGTGTGGAGGAGAGAGTAGACGGGGAGCAGGAGCAGGAGCAGGAGCAGGAGCAGGAGCAGGAGCAGGAGCAGGAGCAGGAGGTAGGAAGGGAGGCAGGGCAGGGGCAGGAGGAGGCTCTGACTTTCAACAGGGAGATCATCATGTTCATCATCATGACGACTCTCAAGCCGCAAGAGATGATGATGGGGGTTTGTCGATTGTTGTGTAGAAAATTTGTAAAGTATATGAAACATGTCAGCGGGACAATACTCTTGACCGCTCTCGTCCTCGTCCTCGTCCTCGTCCTCGTCCTCGTCCTCGTCCTCGTCCTCGTCCTCGTCCTCGTCCTCGTCCTCGTCCTCGTCCTCCACTCCAACTTTGAGTCCTCGTCCTCGTCCTCCTCTTTAACTTTGAGTCCTCGTCCTCGTCCTCGTCCCCCTCTTCGTCCCCATCCTTTCCAGCAGCTGATCAACTCGGCAACGCTTCAACGACAACAACATTTATCAATATACAAGGTCCCTCCTAGAGGGTAACGCCGCTTTCTGCGCTAGAAGCGGAAGTCTTTGTGGGGGTCTGGCTCGAGCGAGGGGAAGGGGAATATGAAGTCAAAGTCCTTCTCCTCCCTCCCCGCCTCCGAGCTCTCCTCCTTCCCCTCCTCCTCCGCCTGCCGGGGGAGAGGCCCTGCTACCCCTCCGAGGTAGCCCACGTCCTGGAAGATAGCAGGTTGATTGAAGAGAGCGATACCAGAAGCCGTCCACGTGGCAGAGGAACTGGTCTGCAGCGGGGGCTGGGCGAATGGCGAGCCCAAGCCTGGGAATAGCGAGAAACCTCCGCTGCGAGCACAGGTTGTTAGTGAGGAGAAGAGAATGGGGAGGAGGAGGATAGTGAGAGAATTGGGCGAAGAGATGGGAAGATGAGGAGGTATGGGAAGGAAACCGCAGGAGGAGGTCGTGGAAGAGGAGGACGAAGGAAAGGAAGGGGGGCAAGAAGGAAGAGGAAATCGGGAATGACGAAGAGAAGGAACAAGGTGCAGGAAGAAAGAAGGAGCAGGAGCAGGAGGAGCAGAGAAAGGGAGAGCCGACAGGGGTGGACTTACGAAGCATTCGCGTCGGGGAGTAGGGAGGTAGTGGGTGGAGCCATGGGCTCCCACATGACACCCTGCGGTCCCATGTCCCCATCCTCGAAGTCTTGCGAGGCGAACATCTCCTGCTGCAGCTCGTCTAGCGGAAAGTCAGGGTTGAGCATCTCCCTCCCATTGCCCCCTAGCGGCTCCTGCGGCGCCAACACCCCGAAGCTCTCTGTCTTCTCCTTCCCCTCCTCCAGGCTCCCGAAGGCCCCGGGTATCAGCCCCACCGCCTTCGGGATGAAGATCTGGTAGCCTTCGGAAGGTACAGCCAACTCCTCCTCCTTCCCTGGTACCTTAATCTCCTCCTGCTCCCCCCGCTGAAGACCCTCTCCCTCTCCCTCCTCCGTCTTCTCGCGCCTGCCTTCAGCCTGTTGTGGCCCCAAACGATCTGCTTGCTCTTGCCCCCTGTCCTCATCCATGGACTTCGCACTGAGTGGCCCCTTCTCCTCCTCCTCCAGCTTCCCTTTCGGCGTCCCGTTTATGTACACTCCTTCTCCTGCAGGGCCTCCTGACTTGGCAGCCTTGCCCTTGCCCACCATCTTCCCAACAGGCACAGGAAGCTTCTCCTCCTCCGCTTTGATCGTCACCTCCGGGCTCTCGACCGACCTCTTCCTGTTCTGGAGGAACTTGATGTGGAGCTCAGTCTCGTAGAAGTAGCTCCTGCTGTCTGCGGGGATGCTGGGGACCTTGATCTGCCGGAGGTTCGGGTTGCCTCTTAGCCTTGACTTGTGCTTGACCTGGAAGGTGAAGGCCAGGATCAGGATGGACATGGAAACTCCGGCGATGAGGCAGTGAGAGTAATGAGCAGGAGAGCTCGTCAGGTACTTCAGAGCATCCTCCATCACCAAGTCTGTTGCATGCTCCCTGTTGAGCAGCTCAAACTGGAACTTTCCGACGTGGGTGTGGATGACGAGGGTGTGGAGGACTGGCTGCTCGCAGTAGGAAAGCTTGCCCTTGATCCGCATGTCGAGCGGGTGAGTTTGATTGACCTCCTTGGAACCTTGACAGTCTTGCAACGACAGGCCTCGGCTGCTGCAAGTGACACCGTCGAAGGATACACTCGAGATCACTATCGGAAGCCTCGAAGGGTTCGAGATCTTGAAGGTCCGCAAGAACGAGGAGGTTCCGTCGGACTCCGTCGTGCCTGACGTCTGGTTGTCATGACAAGGCAGGTGGAAGCGGCAATTCGATGCTGGTACGTTGCGAGACAACGTACACGCCTTGGAGCCTTCGCCAGTGACTACCAGGGATGGCTCTTCTGCGACTCCATACAGAGTGAACTCCACGAGGGCGGTGAGGTTGTTTCTGAGGTACAACTTTGATTTGAACTTCCCTGCTCTCTTCGGTGCAAAGATCATGTTGGTGATGTTGACACCAGACCGTCGGCCGATCACGATGCCCGACATGAAAGTTGCAGGAATGAGGAAGTCAGATTCCATGAAGCAGGCCCGTTCAGTTTGGCAGATGTCAAACCCCTGGGCAGTAGGCTCAATGCTCGCGTTAGGGAGCACAACCTTGAAGAACGTCGTGAGAGAGGAAGGGTTTTCCAGCGAATGATTCACAGTAGACCAACTCCCCACGTAAACTGTCCCGAAGAAGATGTTTCGATCCAAGAAGTCTGGGAGCGAGATGCTGCCAATGACAGGAATCTTGACCTTCATGCTCACGTTGAAGTTGAAAGTGATGTGCATTTTCAACTCTGTCCCACTCGTCTTCACCACTTCATCCCACCTTTCATGCATCCAGTTGTGCTCTGCGATGTCGATGTCGTCAACAAAGGATCCTCGGCTAGCAAACAGAATCTTCCGGTTGGCCCACATCAAGTAAGTGTCCCCCCACAGCGAGTTGTCAACATCCAGGATGACGAAGCCGGAGATCATGGGTAATGAAGGCTCCAGGTTCGACTCCCTCACCGTCAGCTCCAGCCTTGGGTCCGACGCCTCGGCTGAGAGAATTCTGACAGTTGAGGGAAAGGTGTTGACAGCAACCAAAGTCTGCGTTCTGATCTGGCTGGACGAGCAACTGGGAGTGGAGGGTTAGCATTCATCAACATCATCCCCTTCACTCACGTCTCGAAGTACAGGGGGTTCGGGTAGATGTAGATGTTCCCCTCTATACTCCTGTAATCTAGGGAGATGTTCAGCACTTCGTACTTGGTCCTGGAAAAGTCTTCAGCCCCTCCGCGGTGAACAGGCTCTCCTTACCGCAAGATGAGCGAGCCGTGGACGGATTCCACTGCCTTCGAGTAGACTGAGACGTGGATTTGAATGTAATCAGCTCTTTCAACAGAAAACATCAAGTTCCCGTTGTTAGATTTTGAACCCTTCTTGCCGTACTCTGACATGTTTGCAAAGTAGAGACAAGTTGGGGATTCGATGTAATCCGAAGTCTCGATAGAGAGCTCGTAGGAAGGGTGCTGATCGACTTGAACTTCTAAGACCGTGATCGGGGCAGGGTTCCGATTGTAAATCTTGATCACCTTGCGCGAGGTCTGGTTGATCGCAATGACTCCAAAACCATCGTTGCGGTCAGATTCGCTCAAATCTAGCTTCCCATGGTATACTGGCAAGGGTATCCGGAAGGTCTGAGAATGTCTAGTGAGTCGACACAACAACATGAGTTGCGTCCTCCTTACCATGAGGCTGGTGAATACGACAAGTTCCCCGATGAAAGGATCTGAAGTGTTCGTCAGGCTGATACGGATGGTTGAGCTCGATTGTTTCGGCTTTAGGAGAGTTTCTCCTCCATGGAAGTCACACTTGTACAATCGTCAGCCGATACCCTTCAGGTTTCAACGTACCTCCAAGAAACTTCCACGGATGAGAACAGAGATAATGTAAATCGGGACTTTGAACATGTTCGTAAGGGTGAGATGGTGAACCAGCGGGTACTGTAAATCCTGTCGCATTATGAAAGATGTATTCTGCTTGTCGTGGTCCAGGTATCCGTGTACAACTCGTGCTCTGTAATTCACCTGCATCACATACAAGGTTGAATCTGTCTTATTAGCTTCCAGAATGATCTTCCCCTGAAAGTCCCCTTCTGTCTTCCCAGAAAATGTGACCTGTAGGGGAACAGGCGTTCAAGACACGAGCGATCAAAGGAAAGTGCATACCTGCGCAAGCAGGTATTCTGCGTTGGTCTTTAGCCCCGCTAGACTATGCTTCTTGATTACAATCTTGAGCGAAGGCTCGCTCTGCTGCGGGCGGGCCTGGTCCCACGAGAATACATTAGTACACAATCACGTAGAAGACAGCAAAGCACAACGTCGATTAGGGAGACTAGGTTGAAGTATCCTTGCAAAAACATGATGTCTAAAATTTTTGTTGATGTCGGAGACGTCAATATCCCAAAGTCAAGCATCTCAGGCCAGACGGCTAATGACAACGGCACGACGTGGATCTCCACAGGAACTATGAAATTCCCAGCTGATGTCCTCATATGAACCTTCGCGACCTCAGTTGTCACTCACATCATTTCAGTCATTCACCATTCCGACGTGGGTGCCGACGGAAGTGCTGTCGAATATGAGATTAATCACTTTCTTCTTTGACATGGGTCGAATCTACCGGGCAATCGTGTCATGGAACAGGTTCTCAAAGAAGAGGGAAGGGGGAGGAAAGCAGGAGGGAGGGAGGAGGGAAGCAGTTCACCTCCCAAAGAGACTCATTATCCTTGGAAGTGGAACTACACTTCTTTGGCAACATCAGATGAAGGAACCCCTCGTTCGTGTATATCTCATGGACTCGAAGGGGATGTTCAAACCTGTTTCCATCGTCACAGCCACAACCAAGGGACACCAAGGGAGGGAGCCGTACGGGTTGCGGATTTCGAATGAAGTCTTGTAGTTCTCTCCCACCCTCACTTTGATCCCAACCCGAGGCTCCATGGAGAACGTGCTGTACCATGCATGGCCCGTAACCTGTGGAATCACCAAGTTGGATCACGAGATCCTGCACTCTACCACTCAATGACCTCTAGCGTAAGTTTCCCCTTGGACGTCTGGATTGTCAGGGTCCCGATTACGGAGCCCACCTGATGCGCCAAGAACGTGACTGAGATTGTAAGACTCTCGCCAGGTTGAAGAGTCTACACAAAATATGCAGTCAGCGACCGGTCTCACTTCCCCGACTTGACTTGACCTTCTTCGGGAACTTGGACGGTCGGAACTGATTTCTATCGCTCTTGCAAGATTCGATGACGATGGATCCGGATTCCGCTAAGTTCTTCACGACGAATTGCCCCACCATAGGCGAGCAGATTTCGCTGGATAAGACATGGTTCAGTAGATATTCGTAGCCTGTCGGATCGCTTTGAAGACAACTGGGCAAGCATGCAAACAACCTGGCCTTGATAACTAACAATAGAGGAGTGATGGAAACGTTGATTGTCTTTCTCTGTGGACCAAAGGACGTCAGATCCCTGCCCGGGTCCATCCCCTTTCAAGCAGGTCCAGCATGTACAAGGCCTCACCGTTTGGATCAGGGCCTCGAGCTCCTCTAGGTAAGGAAGGCTGGAGGTGATGGATCCATCTGACTTGATCATGTTCGATGAGGAGATACACAGAGGAGGAGCATGGCTCAGCATCAACGCCGCCATGAGCGCGAAGGCCCACCCGCGCCTCAGCGGCATGGCTGCGTGCAGACGGGTCGTGTGGGGTGGTATACTAAACTTTGGGGGTACTGCCACTCGGGGGGTGCGTGATATATTGAGATACAGGGGTATAGACGAAGGGGTACTAAGAAAATAGTTGTTTCTATCAACATGGTCCTTTAAAAGACTAGAGACCATATGGAATATTGAAGATGGAGATGGGGAGGTGCAGGTAGAGGGAATATTGATCCCAAATAGGGGGTCATCAGAAAACTAGAGGGGTACCAAATTTCAAGGCAGGGGTGGATAATGTGAACATGTGGAGTGTGGGTGGGGTATCTTTGGCCTTAGGAAATAAATTAAGATTAAATTAAACAGAAAACCCTTAAATTAATGAGATCAACTTTATTTATCAATAATTAACTTTAAATTTCTTCGAATAGATTTATTTCTGAAAAATTAGCATTGTTTTGTTCGGTGCATTGCGGCCGATGCGAGGCAGGGATGGCCGATGCGTCGGCATGGGGATAAGGAGAAGAGACGGAGAAGCAGAGCGACGCTGATTGCCTCTAAGACATGTCGGAAAGAGAATGAACGGTGTGATATGGTTAAGATATGACTCGTACGACATGGGTGTCATTCCTCGCCATCGTACAGAGATGATGCAGAGGCAGAATGGAAAGAGTGGAAGGTGCCTCACGATCGCGCTGATCTGCCTTTACTTGCTTCAAAGCGAAGCTATTGAAATGCCTGGTAGCATCGATGGACCCCTGTCACCAGAAGCTCATGCGCAGACGTACAACAACCCGACATGCATGGAGCTGATGAAGTACAACCGATGGAGATCCTGGGCCCGGCGACAAGTTGTGGATATTGGCTTCGCTCCCTCGTTGATCAGGATATGTTGTGTATGCTTGACAAATACTGAGAGGTGAGGCCAAAGGTGCTCGAAGCCCTCCTGACAAGACCATGGGCAGCTCCAAGATAGCTGAGACCCACGTGAAGTCGTTCATCGCATCCAACGGCCTGCATCATCGTTTGACGGTGGAGTCTCGTGGAGCAGGGGGAGGCAGGAAGGACTGGTTCCTCCCCAACGGATGGTGGGGGCTGGTGTCTGCCGCGGGCGTGCGCTGAGTGATGGCCGTAGGAGTTCGTTCCACGGCAAGGAACCTGAGCCGGCCTTGACGGAGGTTGCAGCGGAGTTTCGTTTGTGGCTGAGGTGACATGTTGTGATGGGCTGCGCTGACGAGTCACTTGGACCCCAGCGGGAACGCGAGACCGATAAACCCTGAGTGCATCCAGGATTCCGACCAGATCCTCGTGCGTGCTCGAGCGCATCGTGTTGTTTGCGATGTTGTCTTGTTTACTCTTGCTTGACTCTCCTCGTCCCTTGTGCGACGGCAACCTTCTCATCGTATTTTCCAGTGCTACGGCAAAGAAGCGCACGACGAGCTGTTGAGAGCGGCGTCACACTGGGAGAAGGCTGGCCTAGTCCATGATTACAAGGGCAAGATACGGCTCATGCCAGGTATTCGTGATGCTGCCCACGTTGAAGCTGAATGGAATCCCGCAGCGCTGAAGTGGAAAGAAGGAGATAGTAAGGAGAAGGCGAGGGAGGCGATTGAGGCCTTCCTTGAAGACAGCAAGCTGTTCCTTGAATCCTTGAACTTGACCAAGAGCTGATTTAAGTCTTTCTGCACTTGCATGGCCACGTTTGAAGAAGCAGAATCAGGAAAACATGATATCCGTGTCGTTCCGAAGCGATAGCAGCCCAGCAGTTGGTTTGTAGCCTGAAGAATGCATGAGAAGAATTGTGTACACAGATTGATTCCGTTTCACCCAATCCTGTGAAGACATAGGTTTCAAGAAGGAGCCTCGCCGACCATCCAGCCTAGTCAACTCAGAACAAAGAATAGAACAGCACGGCTGCTGGTACCAGCAGGATGAAGAAAGGAGCCATGCGCGTAGAGCCTGTCCACACTTGGGGTTTGAATGATCAGTGAGTGTGAATAAAGTCCAACCCTGTGCAACCTTGAATGGCAACGAAGTTTGACGAGAACACAAACAAATTGATCATCGTTAAGAGAAACCTACAGGGCATCATTGAGATTGCATCATGAAATGAAATTCTGATCCATCACCGTGGTGAGTCATAATCCCATATCATCATCAAGACGCAGAAGCATCTCCCGAAGTTACTCAGGATGATTGACTTAACCTGCAATCCACGCACGTCAAACATGGTGGATAAATGAGCGACTCAAAGCACCAAATAGTTGTATTTGATGATGGGATACTTCCTGTGTACTCTGGTTTAGATTGTTCGACTTCCTCCAACGGGGATCCCCCACCTTTGGAACAACACAAAAGCCGCTGTTACACTAAGAATGCAGAAGATGCAAAGCTGGAGCACACGTCACGAACGAACGCAAGACACTCCGCTCTTACCTTCGCGAGACAAAACAGAAGCAAGAGAGCATATTCCTAGCAGGCCTCAGCAAATGCACATACTGAGGAGGACCACCTTCCAAGCCTCTGGCGGTGGGGTGTATCCCCTCCAGGCGCTTGACTGTGCTAGCTCTGCCCAGCTTTCTCCAGAACGTCAGATGAGAAGCAGAATTAAGGAGGGACCTGTTGTGATTGTCACGACTCTGAGTGTGACTGTAGGCCTCTAGAATGACAGCGAAGAAGGCGAGCTGCGCGTCTCGGCTGGAAATTCCTGCATCGCAGTACTCTGACCTGTTGCAATCTCAGCATGAACGCGGGAGCTCGCAGCTGAAACCCATACCTGTTGAACAGGACATGTCTGTATGCTTGTGGTTTATGAAGGACGAGGTCCAGGAAGATGATAACAAGCTCGTGCTCAACATACTTGTCGGCTACACAACCGCAGTACTCGCATCTGGTCAACCGGATCCCCGCTCCTCGAAACTGATGATGCAAGTCGTTCACGGGCTGACCGCATTCCACGCATATCATGTTGCCCTCCTCATGCTCGTCTCCTCGCTCCTGCACCCTCCTCTCCTCTCGCCTCGTTCCGCTGCATGGTCCTCCCGTCTGCCTGTTTACTTCGCTCGCTGACCCGCCCCAGCCCAGCCCCACCCCCACCCGGGCATATTCCCAATCGTACCCCACCCACTATGGGTCTGCTCGAAGTGGAACAAAGAGAAGTCGGGGCTGCTAATGCGGTCGCTACTTCCCGTCCTCCTCGCCTTCACATGCATCAGTCAGAGCCGGCAGAACCTGCAGCATGAGCTCTCATCTCAGCGACATGCCGTGAAGCTCGCGATGGTCGAGGTTGGGTTCGTTGCATCCCCTGGCTGCTCCTGGAGATCAGCGCGCATAAGCCGCATGCTCGGGCAGTTTGTCGACAGCGCTCCTCGTCATGGCTTCGCCTTACCGGTTCGCGCGCCATGGCGACCTGCTCGAAGTCTTGGAAGCAACTGCAAGAGACGTGCGATGCCATTGAAGGGCATGGATGGCATGGGGGGAGCGAGAGACTCTGACAACGAAGGCGGGCGAAGGAACAAAAGGTTTCTGAGGGTTTTACAGAGTGAAGCTTCAAACTCGTTGGAAGACGCGTTGAACTTCATCTCTCTGGTCAGGATCAAGATGGCCGAGGGAGGGGCCGACGCTGCGGCCTCGTTCCATGTCAGGGAATTCAACAACGCGATCAAGTCGTGCTCAACCACTGCTAGGAGGGGATCTGGTAAGTCCGCCGTGAGCACGGCACTCCGTGTCTTCGACCTGATGCGCGAGGTGGGAGTGGAGCCGAACAGCTACACATTCGTCTTCTTGATGGACACGTGCGCTAAGGCAGGGGCAGAGGAGGAGGCGGTGTTGGTCGCAGGCATGCTGGAGGACAGCGGGTGCAGCGCGAATGAGTTTTTCTACTCGTCTTACATCTCACTGTACAAGAGCAAAGCTCTCGCAGGAGACAGGAGAGCCCCTCAGAAGGTGATGGCTGGCGGTCCCTGTGACAGCCTTCCCTTCGTTCTCACCGTTAGGTTGGCAGGTCTTGAACCTTCTTGATGAGATGAAGCGAAGGCAGTTGCCGATCAATGAGTTCGTTCTCACCAGCGCCATCTCCACCTGTGCCGCAGCTGCAAACAAGCTCGGGCTTGACGACTGTCTTCGGATCGCAAGAAACTTGTTGTCTTCGATGGATAGGAGTGGTGTGAACATCACAGAGGTCATAACCTGAAAGAGTTTTCAAGGCAATATCTGACGAGTCGTCGAACAGGCCGCGTACAATGCGCTGATGAGTGGCTGTGCGAAATGCGCTGCTGATGAACCGATGGCAGCAAAGGAGTGCTGGAAGCTCCTCAAGGAGATGAAGCTCAAGGGCCTCAAGCCCAACCAGAGGACCTACAATACCCTGATGGATTGCTGCGCAAGGTTGTGTAACGCTCTAGTATCTTGCATGTCACTGACACCCTGCCCTTCTGTCCTTTCAGGTGTGGAGATCTGGTGGCCATTGAGCAGTGCTCGGATCTGATTGGCACCATGCAGAAAGAAGTGAGACGGTCCATTCATGCTCACCTTGGCTAACAATGACACAGGGGCTGGAGCCTGACACAACTTCATACAACACCCTGCTGAAAGCCTTTGCCAGCGCAGCACGAAAGACCATCGAAGGGCGGAAGTCTCAAAGCTCGCAAAATCGAGGAAGGATAGGGAGCACAGGGAGCAGCAGAACAGCAGCAAGGGGGAGATTGAACGCAGTCGACTTGCAGAGGGAGGCAGGGGATCGCGAGGTTCGCATGAGCAAGAAGGCGTTCGCAAAGCGCATGCTCGAAGAGTCCTTTCAGCTTGTCGAGGAGATGAAGAGCAGGGGGCTCAAGCCGGACGTGATATCCTTCAACACTCTCCTCGCAGCATGTGCAGCAGCGTCGGCTGAGGGCCGTCAGACTCCGAAACGAGGGTTAAAAGCCCTGCAGCTCATGAAGGAAGCCGATGTGGTCCCCAGCGCTGATTCGTTCTCCTTGCTCATGGAAGCCTGCAAGGTTGCTGAGTTGGCAGGAGCGAAAGACAGCATGGAGGTCGGCATGCGCGTGAAAGAGTTTATCAGCAACCCGCAATCTCAGTTCTACTCGACGTCCCTCGCATCCTCCTTTCCGGAGAAGAACGGTAACGTCTACTCCAACGAGACGCTCCTCGACGCTGGGGCAACGTGGATGCACTCCCGTCTGAGATGGGACAACGCGGTCTCGCCTCAGGGCCTCATCGATGCCCATGAGACGGCAAGAATCGCATCTAGCATGAGCTCCATGTCAGAGTCGCTCGTCAGCGCGTCTAACAATCCCTTCTACGCAAGGAACATCGTCAGCAGAATCGTCGACGCGTCAGCGACTGCCAACCAAGTCCGCGCCCTGGCCGAGCTTGCACGGACGAGCGCAGAGACGGGGGATGAGAAGAAGATGAGCGCAGGAGACGACTCGTTCGAGCTCGGGATGCAGCTGTTCCTCGACATGCTGGACCAGAACGTCAAGCCCGACGCCTTCACCTTCACCAGCTTGATCAACACGGCGAAGCAGAATGGCAACCCCGAGCACATCTCGAGGGTGAGGGAGGAGATTCCTTCCATCGCCTCTCATGCGTGCATGCAGGTCTACAACCTCTTTCGAACGATCCCATACTCGGACAGAAACCACCGCATGTATGCCACAATGATCGGAGCGCTTGGCCAGGTTGTAGATGGCGGCGATCTTATCGATATGATGGTGCTAGTGCTGATGGTGATGGTGGCGATGGCGATGGTGATGATGATGGCGATGGCGATGGTGATGGTGATAGTAAGGTGTACTTTTGGTTGTATGCTGACTGCCAACGACACGAACGCGTCTGCAGGCAAGATTCGTCGACGAGGCTGTGGAGCTGCTCTCGTCTTCCCGCGAGCATGGCCTGCCGCCTGACCTGTACATGTACAGTGCTGCTCTGCAAGCGGCCGCTCGGGCGGTGAAGCTGAGCCATCAGAGTTGAAGGCCTCTGAGATACCTGACAGGATCAGAAGGACACTTTCGACATGATCTACAGTGACATGGTCATGGATGTGAGTAGGGTGGGGAGGGGGAGATGGCTAGGGGATGTGAGTAGTGTGGGGTTAGGAGATGGCTAGGGGATGTGAGTAGGGTGGGGAGGGGGAGATGGCTAGGGGATGTGAGTAGGGTGGGGAGGGGGAGATGGCTAGGGGATGTGAGTAGGGTGGGGAGGGGGAGGGGTTGTGCACGTCCTGACGAGGCATGCTTGCTCAGGGGGTGCAGCCAAACGAAGTTGTACGTCGATTGAGGGACAAGATGTCTTCGAATAAATCCTCACGATGATCTCAAGCTCTCCTCCTCCTCCTCCTCCCTCTCCTCCTCCTCCTCCCTCTCTTCCTCCTCCTTCTCCTCCCCTCCTCCTCCTCCTCCTCCTCCTCCTCCGCCGCCGCCGCCGCACCCTGTCCTGCTTCAAGGCCCGATTTCCGACCCTTCCCCTATTTTTCCCATTATCGCCCAGATTATCGCCCCCCACCACACCTTTGCCCTCCGCCACACGCCCCCTGCTCCCAGGCTCCATCCTGCTGCTGCTTTGCTCTCCTGCGCTCTCTCTGCCTCCTCCTCTCTCTTCTCTCCCCTGACGGCTTCTTCTCGATGCGACGGCTCCAGCGCTGGGCTTTGCCTCTGCTGCTTGTCAGCATGGGCGAAGCGAAGCTGATATGCAAGATCGGTCCGGGAAGAGGAAACTCCGGTCCACTCCCGGACGAGGGCAAGATCGAAATCGACCTGCAGCTGTGGGAAGCGTGTCAGCGAGGAGAAGCCATGGCAGTGCAGAGGCTCCTGACGGAAGGAGCTGAAGTGAACGCTGAGTACATGAACAAGGATGGGCTCGTCAAGACCGCTCTGCATCTCGCCGTCATCGCAGGAAGTGTCGAGACTGTGCGGGTCCTCTGCCAGCATGGAGCCGACCTACAGCAGGTGGACAACTTCGGCTGCACTGCATTGCACATGGCAGCAGCGATGGGGAACTTAGGTGATCGTGCCTCTGCGTGCAGCCGAGCATGGTTGAACTGACATGGCGTGCCTGCTCAGAGATGACGAAGCTGCTGCTGCTCATGGGATGCTCGTGGAATCTTTGCAACATGGCGATGCATTACCCGCGCACAGTCGCGAGGCTGAACAACCACACAGAGGTGGCGGAGGTGCTAGAGCAGGAGGAGCTCCTGCAGCAGATCTACGGGGACGAGATCAACATCGACGGCATGAGGCCGATCGACCAGGTTGATGAGGAGGACTATGGCGGCCGAGGAAGCATGATTGGAGATCACGTGCTGCGGACCTCGGGCTACTTCTGGAGGAATATGCACAAGAACAAGAAGTTCTTTGCGTCACAGCGATCCGAGAAGAGGTTCCTCAGGAAGGTGCGAGAGTTCGGGAGGGCAGAGAGGGAGAGAGTGAAGAAGATGCTGGAGGAGGATAAGACGGGGGGCACGTGAGGAAGCTCTGAGCATGTGTCGACTGAACCTCATGAATGTAGTTTACTTCATCCTCCCCATCTCCCTCCGCGAGTTCCAACAGACTTGTAGACTTGTTCGCTATGATCTTCTCTACTTGTCGTCATCGCGGAACGACGGTGGCGGCGGCAGCCATGAATGTCGGCCTGTCAAGAGCAGGCCCCTTGCTCCATCCTCCTCCTTCACTGAAGATCTCGACCGAGTTGGACCTGGCAGTTGAAACACCATCCCACCCCCCTATCACCCACACCTTGTCCCTCACCTCCACCACAGCAGCGCCATGCCGACTCTCTGCCATGGGCTCGCACCTCTCCCAGGCCTCCAACGAGATGCTGAACCGTTCGCAGGAGGCAAGAGCCCTCACCCCATCCCATCCTCCAAGCACGTAGATGGCGTCGTTGAGCGCCGCAGCTCCTGCTAGCCTCCTCGGCACCTGCATGGGAGGGAGGCAGCGCCAGACGTTGGTGTAGATGTGATAGCATTCGATGCTATTCAACACGCCCGTGGAGTCGCTGCCCCCGATGGCGAACGCCATCTCGTCGTACGACACAGCTGCGCATCCCCTCCGGCTGTTGTGCATGCTGGCAACTTCATTCCACGCTCCTGTCAACGTGTTGTACCTCTCCATGCTGTTAAGATTCTTCGACCCGTCATACCCTCCCATAACGTAAATGAACTTTCCTCTAGCCACACAGCATCCCATCGCCTGCCTCGCCGACACCATCGGGGCGATGCTGGCCCACTCGTTCCTCTGCACGTCCAACTTGAGGCACGTCCTCAACGCCTCCTTCCCGTCCCATCCCCCGAACACGAACAGACTACTCCCTAGGCTGACGCATCCCATACCTCTCCGCGCTTCCGGCATTCTTGCTTGCTCACCCCACCCGGCACTGGAACTTCGTTCATCTTCGCTGACTGCAATGCTCATCACGTCCGCCCGGTCGCTCTTCCCGTCGTTTCCTCCCACCAGGTAGAGCATGGCATCGTGCCCCATTGCTGCCGGGTCGAGCGCTGGAGAACGAGGAGGAAAACAATAGCCAGCGATGTCAAACTCGGAGACGGCGGTCAGGTGGCGATGTAGGTCAGTCATCCTGAGAAGTATGTCCATCTCATTGCTGTTGTCAAGGATCTTCCTTCCTATCAGGAGCGCCCTCTCGAAAATCTTCTTGGTGCTTCTGATCTCTCTCAGTCTCTCATGCTCCTCCCTGCATGCAGCTGCACCTTCCCGCCGCATCTACGAGCACATCACTCGCTCCTCAACGGGTTTATCGGACAGACCTTCGCAGTGAGCATCCTCGAACGATCATTCACGGACCTGACAAGATCCATCGCCTGTAGTTGGGGTCACTAGTGCACTGAGAGTCATACAAAGAACACTTCTTCTTTGATGGAGACTAGGTCTTGATCACAGTCCTTGTTCAGCGAAATGATTCGGAGTGAATACTCTGACTGAAGCCTCCTCAGCTGCTAGGCAACAGCGAGGCAAACGAGAGAGGAAAGGTTGCAAGGACATAGACAGCATACAACATCTTCGCGTCAGTGACCTGAAAGATATCCAGCAGACAAGCAACCTGCTCAAGTTGTGCCTCCGCTTCCGACACCTTGGACTCCAGCATTCCCCGCGGATTCGCTGCAGCGTCACGCAGGGCAACGCACTTGTTGGAGGAGATGCTGGCGCCGAGATGTCAGCAGCGGCCTCTGCCAGCGAGCATGCAGAAGGACCTGAACTTAGGGTCTAGCAGGACGCAGTCTCTGCAATGAAGAGTCCCCCCTTCCTTGGCGATGAAACATACAGTCTGTGAGGGGTGTGCTGAGCATTTGGGCAAAGACCCGCGATGAGAGATGCGGGGAGAGGAGGTCTTGTGCTGCCTGAACAACTTTGAATCTGCTCATCAAGGAAGATGAATCAAACAAGGTCACAAGCGTACATCCCCTCCCCTCTCACCGTGCGTAAGCTCGAAGCACTTTCCGCATAGATTGACATCGCAGCTCTCGCAGAATCGCTCTGCTGCCTCAAGGCTACATTCTATGCACAATGGCAGCGCCTCTCCACCTGTCCTCTCGTGCAAGTCCAGCAAAGCCTCCACCTCTCCTCCAGCGAAACTTCTACATGCCGCACTGCACCATGGGCACTTTCCATATCGAGAGCCCCACTTGAGCGCCTCTGGCGCGCACATGCTGCATGCCGAGTGCAGGCATGAGAAGATGATGCGATCTCCTCCTCTGTCTCCTGCTCCCCTACCTCCCTCTCCTTCTCCCCTCCCCCTCCCTCCACCACCCCCACATTGACAGCGCTTCCCTGCCATGTTGGGATGTAGAGCCCGCCTCGGGCAAAATACTCAGGAGACCGGACAGGGCGAGTCACAGTACGATTTTCATTCAACTATCTCTTTACTTGGTTACACACTCTTCTCTACTACTATCACACAATCTCAAGCTTCTTCTGAGGGTTTGCTGTAAGCCGCACGTGCTCCTGGAATAGATCCTCAACTGCCCTGATGTACCTCGCATGGAACTCATCCAAAGTTTCGTCAGCCTGCGCGAACAGAGGCTGAAAGAACTGCAATCAGCGTCTGCAGATCCTTGGGATAAGATAGGACGTACCTCTCCGACCACGATGAAAAGCTCCTTCCTGAAGGGGATGGGCAACCCTCCACGTCCGACGATCGGGAAAGGAGCTCCCACTTTGATGAAGTTGTTCACAAACTTCCAGAAGGAGAGTCTCCAGTTCGGCTCATGCTGAAACAGTTGATTCTCGCCGAAGGCATAAACAGGAACCAGTCCCACATTGTTTTGCATGGCCACCTGTAGCCGTTGGAAGTCAGAACTCCAAATATACAGCCCATTCACGGACCTTCACGAAACCCTTCCTGTTCTTCAAGTACAACACATCTTTCTCTTCGTGCGTCCCTTCCAAGACTTCCTCGATCCCTCCGACGATGAGGCCGAGGCTATCTCCTCTTGCCAACTTCTTCTCAACGCTCTTTCTGTTGCACGGGATCATTCCGTTCAGAGACATCAGCGTCGACAGGACTGGAATGTTGAACATGGCGTCGTTGATCCCTCCGAAGAATTCCTTGTTTCTGAGCTCCGGGAACCAGATGTCGAAAAGACCTGGAGGAGGGTCACAACCTTCAATGGAGGTCGCTTCCATCACCGCAAAACAAGGCGAACCCGTAGAACAGCCTGCCATGTGGATGCCAACAGAAGATGTAGTTTTTGTCACTTGCCATCGTCGACTTCTTCAGCAGCTTGAAAGGCTTCACATATCGCACAAGGTGCATCAGCGCTTGCCGGAAACAATTCTTCTTGAACCATGGGGAGTACATTTTCGGCAGGGTACACAAGATCACCAACGGGGTGATGAAAAGAATGCCCCCTGCAATGCCGTACGAGCGATAGAGGTACAAGGACGCAATCAGTAGGAGCGCAGGAAAGACGGTGAACGAGGGAACCAGTACAGCAGAAACTAGGATGACCGATAACGTCTCCTTAGCGCGAGAACATTGCGGAACTTCGAAAATCCACTGGCCATCCTTGATTTTGCCCGTCAGAAAATTTTCCACCGTGCTCGAGACGCGAAAGTCATGCAGTTCGTGTATATCTGCATCATGCTGAACCTCTCGACCTGAACAGCTTCCCTGGTCTTCAGAAAGCTTTTCTCTCAAATGTTGACTCCCACGCCCCATCCCGAACTAAAAGGCTCCTGCGAGATAGACAATCAACCCCCTTCTTACAGAAAATAATATGACACTTCTCCACTTCTCATCTGTTGGACTTGCACTGTTTTACAACCTGCTCCCTCTCCCCTTCCTCTGCAACTGATTTGAACACCTTTGACTGTTTGTATTACCTCAACCGACCAGGAAGAAACTTTCTTATGTGGCTGCCACAACACTCACAACCATCTCTCTGGTTTCAGTCTCTATCCGTGTCTGGTTGCCTGACTATCACTGCCGTCGAACAATCTTCATCCTCCCTCCCATTCACCGCCTCCGCCTCCGCCTCCGCCTCCCTCCTTGCATCGCCTCGCGCCGCCCACCCCCTCAGGGTTCAGGGCTCAAGTTAGCAAGGGCCGCATCCGCTCTTTACTACAGGTAATTAATATATATATAAACAAACGATACGGTCTGATGAGCTCCCCAGGGGTCACTTAAAATACTTTTTCAAATGTAAAATGGGGAAAGAGGGTGGGGGTCAGTAGATACCCTTCCATATCAAGCATTGAAGTGAGAAAGAGTGAGGTAGGGTGTACAATGACTAGGGTACACTGATGCAGGGTGATCTACAAAGGGTTTTATAATTTAGTTGATGGGGGATGATGGGGGATGAGGGCTGGATGAGGGTGCAACTGACGGGTATGAGGGGGATGAAGCATTGAGGCGCGGATGGGAGATGGGGGGGATGGGGGCCTCAATTGTCTCTTCGTGATGGCCGAACATGATGAAGGGAAGAGGGGGGTAGGAGGGCGGGGGATGTTGATGATAGAGAAAGAATGCTGCAAAGGAGTGAGGAAATTGTACGGGACAGATCAGGGGATAGTGAAGATGGAGAAAGACGAGGTAGGAGGGGGTGAGGAGGGGGTTTACTTGGATTGAAAAAAATGTGGAGCTGCGGTGCAAATATAGGCGAAAGACGGGTGAGAGATACATGACAGCTAATCGCGTACGAACATACCCAAGTGTGCAAAATGGTGGCAAGGTATGAAGACTAAGAGGACTAAGTGGATCAAGTGATTGTTCCACAAGTTTAAAAGAGAAATTGCTTAGGTAGAGGAAGAGAGATATTGTTGACCTTTTTGGACTTCAAAGTTCTAGCCTGTGAACAACATCAGAAAAATTTGCAGCAATTGTGTTTCTGCTTTCATCTACTTCCAATTCGCTTCTGTTCTCTGACACATGTTGCAGTCATACAGATTCGACCATGTTATCCTTGTCAACCAACACGATGAGGAATAAAGTGCTGGTGGGAAGCATCTCCCTTGCCGCTCTTACTCTGCTGGTTGGAGGGACGTTGGACATGTACATGAAGTCGTCCTCGCAGCAGATGGCGGTCGCTCCGCATGCTCGCACAACTCAGCTGTACGACATCCCCAACTTCGTGTATCAGCGTACTCAGATGCACTTTCCACAAGCTGAGGAGAACTGGCTGAACATGGCGGCAGAGGGTAAGATCGGAGATGATGTCAAGCCAGAGAGGATCCTCCACAACCTCAATGCCATCATCTCGGACGCTAGGAGCCATGCTTTGGAGGAGAACTACGAGGCAAGAGTGAAGGCAAAGACGGATGCTATGAACGAGAACTACGATGTTTACGATGTGCACCACGGCAAGGTTGTCCACAAGATCTACGGCAAACAAGTTGGAGGGTCTGTGACCTTGAAGCCATCGGAGGACAGCGGTTTGTCTCAGCTTGCTCAGCCACAGATGGAGGGAGGAATGATGATGAAGCAGAGGAATCAGATTCATCATGCCAAGGCATCGGCCCAGCTGCGCTCATATGCAGTCACCGTCCCAGCAGGGTTGAAGAGCGGGCAGCGATTCATCGCCAAGATCCCGAACAGGGGATCAATGCTCGTCACTGTCCCACCAGGAGTGTCGGGCGGTCAAGAGGTCGCTATCCAGCTGCCTGAGGGTCACCCGGCTGCTGCGAGGATGCAGCACCCTCGCAGGGTGCACCACGAGAGGTCGTCCGATGAGATGAGGAAAGCGCTCCAGGATCCTCCTTACAAGACCACCCACCCCTTCGCTGACAAGATGATGGACGAGGCCCTCAGCAACCATTACAGTGCCGTCCCTCACTCCGTTTTTGGCATGGAGCATTAGATTTACTCGTGAATGACGATGTGACTCCTGTGCTGGTTTTCATGACCGTGTCTCCGGAGAATCTTGAGAGCCCTTTCCCACTGCAGGACCCACTTCGATGTGTTGAATAAATTCAGTTTCTTCCTCTTGGAAATCATCGCTCGCTTCCACCGCTCCCTCCACCTGCCATTCCTTAGAATTTGAACTGCAACTTGCTTGTAATCCTCCAAGTTCCTTGCCGTCAAGCACTCAGATCCAGCAGCATGCGCGAACGAGGCCCCGATGCGCGAGCACAGTCTCTCGCTAGGGAGAGATACGGATGGCACGCCAAGCCAGAAGAGATCGGTTGCGGTGGTGACGGTGTTGTAGAGGAACGTGTCCAAGTGAACATCAGCAATCACCGAGTGCTGATTCCACAACCGATTGTAGAGCGCTGGAGGGGGTTTGGAGAAACACATCCGTGAGGGGTCGCCTCCCATGATGTCCGCATTCATGACAAGGTTTTGCTCGCCCAGATCATTCCAAGACTGAATCCAAAGCAAACTTTGATTCACTCTGGCCAAGATGTCCAGCCATGCTCTGAAGGATTCTGGATCAATCTTGTAGAAGGCATTCAAGTTGCCGATGACAAGACTGTCTGCCCGCATGTCACATGAGAAGTTCACTTCCGCTCTCCACCGTTGAGCTGACATGTCGGGCTCCTCCATTTGCGCGTGGTCCGTTACCAGGAAAGACGACGGCAACAGAATCAGCTTCTCCTCATACCAGTCGGCATAGGAAACGGGAGCCACGATAGGATCAGCGACGATGTAGTCAACGTAAGGGCATGACATGCTGTTGAGAAACGCCATGTAGTGAACCTGCGTCCTGCAAGGCCGTAGTGCCAGAACTTCAGATTTCTCTCCCTTGACCCACCCGTTCAAGTCGATCAGGATCTCCACTCCTTCTCTGTTGATGTGAGTCGCTATCTCACCGAATGACCAGCCGCCCACAACCTGGACTTTGTCGAAGGCCTGCGAGATGTTCTCAAAGTACCCACTCCTGTCTGGAGGTTGGATGGTCATGATCAGAGAGACTTCGAAGTCAGCTCGGTTATGAAAGGAGAACAAGCTTCTCGACAAGTAGGCGGTAGCATGCGCTCGGATGTCTGAGGTGATGTAGCCGATTCTGACCTTTACTTGGCTCGGAGGCTCCTTCATCGCTACTGGCAGATCCAGTGCTATCTTGTGAATGCAACCACAGCCTTTCTTAGACACGTTCACGCTTGCTTCGAAGGACAGCGGCAGGTAGAGCATTGTCAGCGGCTCGATACAGTCTCCCTTCAAGCCTGTGTTGCAGTAGAAGCCTTGCTCGATCATGTTGCTAAGCCTCCTCATGCTCCTGCTCAACCCTCGCCAATCACAAATACCCCCACGCGTGAAGATCAGGCGAGACAGGACGACAGCATCGTTGGGAGACAGGGTCAGCGCTCTTTCTCCCCAATGGATAGATTTAACGTGATCGTCTACCAGGGAATAAGCAAGAGATAGCGAACTGTGGAGGAGGAAATTCTTTGGATTCTGCTCTATTGATTTCTGCAGCATTGCAATAGCTTGTCTTGGCGATTCTCTCTCTATCAAGAGGTCAAACTGTCTGAGAGCTTTCTCTGGGCTTACATACTCTGATTTCCTTTCTTTCGCCAGCGCTATGCTTGTGACCATGAGAACCCAGGCGAAGCAAGAGCGAACGGCAGACATCGCGCGGATATTCTCCGAAAGCACAGTAGGAGCCCACAGAGATCGATCACAGCATAACCTCTCCGCTTTCAGGTGCAAGACATCTGAACGCGATGAAGACAAGGTGAGGCATGACGTACTAGAGTACACCGCATGCCTCCCACCTTCCTCGCCTCTCCTCTCCCCGCAAGTTTCACGAAGCTGCCATGGCGAGATGGCCTCATACAACCCACCATACTCACGTAACGTGCCCTGTAACGTGCCGGTCCGCCTCAGGCCAGGGCAACAAAGCCTGACTTCAAGTTCAAGTTGTAGTTCAGTACCGTGACTACCGGGCCCGTCAGGCGGACTCCGGGATGCGGCCGGGCTGTCGGAGGCTCCTTGTGTGATACTATCAACTCAACTCAAAGGCTTTGTGAATATAACCGTTTCAGTGACCAGCCTGGGTTCCCGAGGGCCGGCGGTGCCAACTTCGGGTGCAGTGCAGCGGGCACGGACCGGGCCCGGCCGGGCCCGGGGCGACTCTCCCGGCGTCCGGGAGTCTCAGGTGCTTTCAGCTCAGCTCCAGTGGCACATAAAAAGCTGGTCAATCAGCCAAACTACCCCTTCTTCAAAAAGAGGACCCACCCCTAGAACAGACAGAGTACCACCCCCGTCCCTCTCACCTGCAAAGTACCCCACCCCATGATAAAAAACCATTCCCTTTAGAACCGGGTAAATAAACCGTGTTTTAAAGATACAGGGACCCTCGCGCAATCATGAACGCAGAAGCTTCTTGGGAATGCTGCGCCCTTCAACCTCTCGTCCACTAGCTCCTCCTCCCCCCCAGCATCACCTTGCCACGTGTGCTTCTCCTCCTCTCCCGTGACATGGCAGCGTTCCTGTTCCAGCGCCTGATCGATCGCTGACTAATATCCCACTCTACAAATGATAAATCTGACTGCTTCTGCAGGTGGGAAGGAAGGACTTACATGTGGACTGGCTGATCTTCTTCATCTCAAAGTAGCTTCTCCCTCCTCTTAATCGACATGTCGACCAAGGAGGCGGCAATGAAGGCTCATCAGATGGAGGACGTAGAGATCCGCAACAGCGAGATCTTAACCGGGAACGATGTTCCGAACCTTGTGAGTGCATTGGGCCAAGACGACTCCTCTCCTCCAGCTAAGGATCCTCCTAAACCGGGGATCTTCGGAAAGCTGTTCTTCACATGGATGGATGATATCATTCGGCTCGGTCACCAGAGAAACAAGAAGGCCGAGAACTTGGAAGCCTCCGACCTGCTGACCTTGCAGAAGCAGTTTCAAGCAGAGCACATCATGCAGGAAGTGGAGATGCTGTGGGAGGAGGAGAGGCAGAGGCCTAAACCTTCTCTTGCTCACGTGTTGTGGAGGAAGACAAGGGGGTTGCTCCTTCTGTCCGCGTTCTTTGAGTTGTTCAGATTGATCGGATCTTTCTCGAGCCCCTTGCTTGTGAAGCAGATCATCATCTACATCCAGGTTCTCTTTTGCAAGAGAAATTTCCTTCATTGCTGACTGGAAGAATCCTCAGAAAGATGAGAAAGACCTCAAGACTGGGTTCGGGCTGACTATCTTGATGGTGGTTGGAACATCGCTGGTAGCCCTGGGCAAGTCCCACGCGTTTCACAAAGCTCTTGCGGCCGGTCTGGTGGTGAGTCTTGAAGTGACGGCTGAGGAGAGGCCGATGTTCCAGGAGGAGAAAGGGAAGGGGAGAGAGGGAGGGAGGGAGGGAGGGAGACTGGGGAGGGGAGGGAGGGAGGAAGGGAGTGGGGGAGAGGGAAGGGCTCCGTTGAGGGGGAGTGGGAGAAAGGGGTGAAAAAAAAGGATGGATGCGATGGACTGTGGGGGAGAGAGGAGGGGAAGGGGTACTTGCCTTGACAGGAAGGATTGAGGGGGATGAGATGAAAGATGAGGGTTGAGAGGAGCTGCAGGTCAAGGCTTCATGCAACAGTCTGGTTTATTCCAAGTGCCTGCGGCTGAGCAACGCGGCACGTCAAGAACGGTCAACGGGAGAGATTGTGAACCTAATGTCGACAGATGCTGAGAGAATGTTTCAAGTGAGTTGTTGTTGCGTGTGCTTGCAATGTTGCCAGTGATCTTGTGATGACAACGGGAGTGAAGATGAGGCTGTAGAGGAGATTTCAGTTTGGATTTCTTGATTTCTTCTCTTTAACTTGCTCCTCAGTCTTTCCTCTCCTTCAATGCCGCCTGGTCTGCCCCGGTGCAGCTTGTGCTAGCGCTCTACCTCATTTACGTCGAGGTTATCCTGCTCATCCACACCGCCTCCCTTCCTTCCTCCAGATTTTCTTGCCTCCTTACCCTCCCCTCCCGACATGCTCACCCACATGTTCATCTCACCTCCTCCTCCTTCGGTTGCAGGTGAAGGACGCAACGTGGATCGCGCTCGGCGGGCTCTTCTTCGTCTTCTTTGCGCTGGCCGTGATCTTCATGAAGATCATGAAGCTGGAAGGGCTGAGGATGAAGGCGGCGGACGCAAGGGTGAAGCTGCTCAACGAGATGATCCAGGGGATGAAAGTGATCAAGCTCATGGCATGGGAGGACCCCATGCTGCTCGAGTGTGACAAGCGAAGGGAAGTGGAGCTGAAGCATGTTCGAGAACTCGCTATCACCAAAGCCATGATGATCGCAACGGTGATTCCTCCTCCCCCCTCTCCTCCTTCCCCTCTCCCAAACTGC